TCAGTGTCAGAAAAATGTAATATGCATATAGATAGGAATGCGGTTATCATTTTGAACTAGGTAGAAGATCAAGTTTCGTTTCCACTCATCTTCAAAAGTTGATACACTCTTGTAATATTTCTTGTTAAGTATCTGACCGAAAGAAAAGATTCCTCTCAATGTTATGCTCTTCTTTTTCAGTCTTTGAACTTTTATAAACTTCAGCGTCTACCCTTCATTTATCAATGCTTGTCTATACTATCATCTTATTTTCTGTTTTCTAATACTGCTTGTCTAATTATCTGTTTACAAGAGGCTCATGTAATTTACGCATATACGGTCGTCGCATTAGCGATGATCTTTGAACGTGAGGTAGAATATTTATTAATAGTCTAGGCCCGTTTTGAAGCCTTCCTAGATTAGATATAAAATGCAAAAAAAAAATCTATGATGTTCATTCAAAATTAACAATTTGAGTGTGGTAATTTTGAAGAGTTTTCTTTGCTTTTTCTAAAGTGATTAAACTTTTCCCCTGATTTTCATGTAGTTAGCTTAGTCTTATTAAACTAGTTATCTTCTCTATCAATAAGGGTGGGGTGCGGGCATGTGAGAGTGCCTATGATTGTGAGTGTAATTCTTCTTCTCAACAATACCCACACGCCTTCAAAAGATCTCATTTTAATATGAAAAATATGAGGTAAAACTATTAAAGATGGATCAGACAAAAAAAAATACCCTTTCCATCGTTATTCAATAATATTTAAGATTTCTTTCTTAAATAATTAAGTTTTTAATAAAACAAAAACTTCTTTACAAAAATAAATTCTATGGAAAAGAGTTTCTTTCAACCACATGGTCGTTTATATTGTAAAGCTCGTTGCTTATACTCCTCAGCACGTTTTAAACATTGTGTCGCTTGTTCTCGTAATTTGGTGTCCAAATCATTCCATAATCGTTCTAAGAGATCGTCTCCATGATCAAATATCATCATTTTATCACAATAATCCATTCCCCATTCCGAATAAGCACTAACTGATCCACAAAAAAGAAAGATTTGTACGAGGTTTGAAGATTCATAGATTTGTGGAACGACTTCTTCAGCAAATGAACCCGAAACAATAAGATAAATACCCATGTCGCCTCTTTTTTACCAACTGCGTCGCAG